TGATGATGTTACCTAGCTGGGTAATGAAATTCTACAAGAAAACAAGCCATAATCTGGGCAATGAGGTACATCTGGACCTGGAGATGATCCAGACCTTTGAACTGATCTGGGATAGTTCATAGACAGCTTGCTTGTCCTCTCGGTTTGGAGAAAGCAAAACCATTTTGGTCTTTGTGGATCTGCTAACAGCAATAGCCCTTAGACTTATATACCGCTTCATGGTGCTTTCTAGCCCTCTCTAAGCAGTTTACAGAGTCAGCCTCTTGCCCCCCGACAATCTGGGTCCTCATTTTACTGACCTCAGAAGGATGGAAGGCTGAGTCAATTGGGAGCCAGTCAGGATCGAACTACTGGCAGTTGGCAGAATTAGCCTTCAACACTGCGTTCTAACCACTGCGCCACCATGGCCCTTATGATAATAATAATAAACTATGAATTAAAACCCATTTGTGGTCCCTTTGAACTAAATGTACTTTCCTCCTCCAGGCAAAACAAAATACCCTGCAGCCTCTCAAAATTATATTTGAACGCTGTGCCCCCATTGTCCCCGGAAGAGGTGAAAAGACTGGTGTCGTCGGCATCCAAGCTTATCGTCGCTGCGGTATGTACCCTATCCAGGCCCGATTCTGACATCTCAGCTAAAATAGTACAGGTATTCCTCGGTTTACGACCACAGTTGGACCCAGGTTTCTGTTGCTAACCAAGGCAGTTGTTGAGGGAGCCATGCCTGATTTTATAATTTTTTCACCACAAGGGTTAAGCGAATCACGTGGTCAAATTGTGATCGCATGACCGTGGGCATGGTTGCGAGGACTGGTTGTAACAGTTTTCAATGTTGCTGTAAATTGAAAGGGTCGCTAAGTGAATGGTTGTAACCCTAGGGCTACCTGTATTTGGGGGGGGCTTTGCTTTAGCTTACAATTTAAACATAAACCGGGCAGTTTGATAAACCACCGTCTGCGGCACAAATCCTGAACCAGTAATAGCTTATCGAAGCTACGCTTTGTAAACTCATCCACTGTCTGATTTGTTTGATCTACGTGGTGGAGAACTGACCCATTCTGGCTCAGCAGGCTGTGCAAACAAATTGTCTTTCAACAGGCAGAGACGCTAACGGGATTTATTTGTCGCCTGTAGAACAGTTTGCGGAAGCATTATTTTTCCAAAGAAGGTATTATAAATTCATGAATAGTTGAACATTCTGCTGAAAGTGGCTGCCTCTTATTAACCTTCTTCCTCTGCTTTGATAGTTCTGCTCCTTTCATCCCATTTTTATTTTATTATTCGCATGCTTGCTTTTGTCCTGTTTCCTAAGCCCAGAGTGGAAGGAGATGTGAAGCAAGCTCTTCCGTTCCTTCTTTTGGAAATGACAGTTGGGAAGGTGATTCCTATCATCACACTTTCCAGTGAATCTTGGACCCTTATATAAATTTAAGACATGAGGGCTGAAACTGAACACCCCCCTGGTAATTAAGTTCTTCTTGTGAGAGTAAACTTGAAAGCAGGAATGGCCTTCCTTTTCCTGATGAGTGGTAAACCTGTCTGAGTAATTGATTTGTAACTACTTAATAAATGTTGTAAACCAGAAGAGGCTGTCTACATATGGCTGAAAGCCAATTTTCAGCATCCTGAGGACCAGCTATGATCGGGAGGTACCGAATCATGTTCTTGATTTAAATGAATAAGAGTTTGTATTTTAACAGTATTTCTGTTATGGTATCAGCTCTTGGGTAGATTTGAGTTCCTCTGGATGGATGTTGCTAGAGAGAGGGTTTTATTTTATTTCTGTTGATTCTTTTCTTAGACTTCGAAAATCTCTCCAGAAGAAATGGAAACAACTCAAGAACTTAAGAGAAGAGAGAAGAAAAGTGTTACGAGTTTCAGTGATGGTCACAAGGAGAATTTTTCCACCATCCTTTTTCACGAGAATCAGGCAAGAAGGTACAGAATCCCGGGAGTATTGTGGTTGTTGGCATCTTGGTTTAGATGAGAAGAGCTTACTAAATAAGCTCTCAATTTATTGGATTTGGGTTTAGTGGACTTGAGACACAATCAAGACATTCCATCTCCCATTTTGCACATGCATAAGATTCCATTTGCTATTTAACGGGCCATCTGATTTAACAGACCCCGAAAGCTCAAATTGATGGCTCTCATGTTTTGATCTTTCAGAGGCCAACAAAGCCAAACAAGACAAAGCGATAAAGAGATAAAGAGGAAGACCAAAGTTTCAAACGCTTCCAGTACCACTCCTGCTAAATCGAGAATTTTTTCCATGGCTGCTTGGAATACTCAACAGAAGACCTTTGTACCCTCTTTGAAAGGTACAGTCAATGTTGGCATGCATTCTTGTACACCATTTAAAATCCGAAGACAGGAGTCCTCTTCCAAAGCTGGTGAAGATGCTTCAGGCAAGAACTGTCCACCTAGAAAGCCTCGGGCTGCAGGACCAAGCCAGACACTTGGATCCAAAGCCCACAAAGATCGGCCTCAACGCTCTGTCGTCTTGAAAAGTAAAGAGCAGAAAGTGTCGAAAGGAAGCTGTGCTCCTCCCTCTGCCAGATCGACAGCTGAGATTTACAGCAGCCAGCATTCAACCACCGGAAGAAAGATCAGAAAGCAATTCAGTTCTGAAACGATGTCCAGGTCCTCTATCCTGAAAAGGGTCAGCGATCCTAAACCCCAACCCAACGACCCCAGAGAAAAGCTTGTGACACGCACCCAAAGGAACGGGACTAAAGGCGAACAGGAAAGCAGTGATTCACTGTCCCGAACCACTTCCAAACGCCATCAGGTCAACTTTGCAAACTGGGAATCTTTTGGCTTGGAGAAAGATAGAGAAAGAGGCTCTCAGGATGACGGCGACAACACCACTGCACCTTCCACAGAGAAATGTGGTCTCGCAGAAGGACACAACGGCGATTGTGCTTGTACCGTCCAACAAGGGCCGCCTTTTCTGCACGAGCTTTGCCAGGAAATGACCCAAGAAGCACCTGCTGATCAGACCAGGGGCGAATCCAACCAGTCATTTTCTCCGAAGGAGCCAAGAGACGCCCGGGGGGAAGAGGATCGTGTCGATAGCTCACCAAGTCCAGAACGAGTGTTAGAATCGGAGTCCTGTAAAGGAGAGGCAATCTGTATCCCACCCACGGCTCCAGCCGGTTGCCGATGTTCAGAACTACCAAGTTACTGCATGTGTGAAATCAAGGAAGAGCAAGAGACTGGGTTTCCTGGGGAAACCGCCCCGCTTTCGAACAGTTTGGACGGGGAAGAATCCGACGAGGAGCTCACCAACTCGTCCCTCTCGAGCAGTGCCAGATCATCCAGCTGGTTATGCGAGCAGATGGTAAAGTGTTTGAAACCTGAGCTTTTCTGCATTCTTGGTTATGGATTCCGGACGTTAACCTGTTATATTTATAAACCGTTGCATTTCAAACAGCTGGCCAGTAGTTTCCATTATTTCAAATGACATGAGAGTTGGCGTTCCCGTTCCAGCTTGATGCTTTTCAGAAAGATTTGAGCTAGCCCAGCGTTTTTTTTTTAATCTTGGTGACAGGTGCTAGAATTCCCCAGCCAATGTCAGGTGCAGGGAACCAAGAACAACATGGTGAGTTGCTCAGAGCAGTTTCTTTACTGCTCTTTGCCTGTAGACAGGAATCTTGCCAGACTAAAGCACACTCTGCATAAGGTTCAGTTCAATTTTGGGAAGGTTTTAGGGAGGATCCCTTCTGGGTTTCTTTCTGCATACCAACCACCCAAGATTGATTTGTCTTTTACTTCCTGGAGAAAGAGCTCTACTCTCCTGCAAACTAGTGCCAGATTCCATCACATCCATTTTTGCTGGCTGGGGAATTCTGGGAGCTGGAAGTCCACCCAACTTTAAAGTTGCCAAAGATGAGAAATAACGAGCTAGATGATAACATGCGGAGTGATAAAGTCTCTTGAGAAGGCCAAGTATCTATTTATCTAGTTCTTATTTGTTGAAGAAACAGTGATAAATATTTACACCCCTGCATACCATTCACTGGAAGTGCAGTGGTGCAGTGGCCTAAGAGGGTGGAAGCGCCATCGCTTGAGACCTTCAAGAAGAGATTGGACTGCCATCTGTCAGAAATGGCGTAGGGTCTCCCGCTTGGGCGGGGGGTTGCACTAGATGACCTACAAGGTCCCTTCCAACTCTGATTATCTGTTATTATCTCTGGAGCTCTGGCCTCACAATCAGGAGGCTGTGAGTTCGACCCTAGGCAGAGGCAGATATTTCTCGCTCTGGCACAATGAGAATATATCTTCTGCGAACTCTGCATTGGCAATAAGAAGGGCATCCGGCCAGTAAACACTCAGTTCCATTCAGTTGCCTTGACTGCACCCCGCAAGGTCATTAAACAACAACAAAATACCATTCACTGGAAGGACATATTTTCACTTTAATTTTGCAGACGATGACAAAAAAACCCCAATTTAGACAAATCTCTTCCTAATTTCTTCTATTGTAGGATGAAGACATTACACTAAAGGAGGCCGTCAACCCCAAGATGGGGACATTTCTTCAGAAACTTCTGAAGGCTCCTGAAAATGGCACCATCCCGCAGGAAGTGTCCAATCAGTATGAAAAACAGAAGTAAAAAGCTGTGTTAAATTTCCCTTGCCGGTGACTGCTTTTGCATTTCATTTGATGCCCCAGAAGTTTCTAAGAATGCAGCGCTGCTTTATAATGATTAGAGTTCCACACTTTTGTATTATTTTGTAATAATCAGGATTTGCTCAAGGATGTCGCAACGATTTAATAGACCATTAGATGATTTATTGCAGATCTCCCAAGACGTTTCTCCTTCTAGACCTGTTGGATTATAGCGTCCGCTGCTCTTATTGTGCTGGTTTTAAGATTCTGTACTTATGTAACCTTGGTACTTGTAAATGTGCTTCTTTTCTGGAAAATACTGATCATGAACACGAGGCCATCGTTTCCAGACAAGGAAGTTATTTTTCTGTTTCCCCAAATTTTCTCGGCTTAGACCTCTGAACTTAAAACAGCGTATTTTAAAACAGAGTTGTGTCCCATTGTGTTCACCTTAATCCAATTTAACACAGTATTTCAGTGTTCATAGCAGTCAAATAATCAGTGCTGTATTTTTGTGATGCGTTTCTCCATATTTTAGCCAAACATCTGACTATAAAAAAGGGAATTGATTGTAGGTATAAATAAGATGTGCCAATTATGTAACTGACAATGATGCTTTGACATTGTAATGATTTTTTTATTCTGATGAAGCCATTTTGAGTATCTTTTCTTTTATTTTCTTTGGTTAGCCCAATCATTTTTTAAAACTGTCCAAAAACAAATAAAAGCATGTTTATTTCTGCAAAGTTTTCACGGTATATTTACTGTTTTACATCCTTGCTTGGTTTTACAAATGTTTTGTATAAAACATTGAGGGACCAGTCTTTAACATCACCTTAACAGGCCTAGTTCTTAAATGCACATGTGACATTTCAAGTGTATAACGTTAAGCCGGATGTCTGTCCTTTCCCCCAAATAAATACTGGTTGTCCTCATTTAGTGACCACCAGCAGTTGTTAAGTGAGGCAATCACTAAGTGAAACTGTGGCTGTGCTTCTGATCTTACTCCAGCTTTCATCACCATCGTAACTGCAAAGAGTCGCTAAAGGAAGCAGCTGCTAAACAAGGACTGCCTGTATTATTTCTATGGTTTTATAACAAAAGTGATGTGGTCAAATTTCTGAATAAGCTTTCAGACCTCTCCCCAGTCATTAAATCCTCAGGTCTTAAGATCTGGGTGCTGTTTTCTGGGTGCTGGCACCCCAGATCTGTGTGCATCGATCAAAGTACTTTGTACACACAAGGCCAGAGAATCTGGCAGCTTGGAAATCTCAACAACTGTGATTGTTCAGCTCTGACCACCTTTTGAGTCTCTTTACTGATTAGGTTTCGAATGGTCCCCAGCTCCATAAAACTTTATCTTCATCAAATAATAATAAAAAAAAACCCAGTAAAACAGCCACGGCCATAAATCTGGAAATGACCGTTCACCTAAGAAATTAAGTGCCCAACTATCCCCAAAGCCCAGGGGAGCAGCTGGACTTTGGGGGCATCATCGGAGTGGGATGGTTCTCCGGATACGGACGGGGGATGTTCTTCCAGAGGCCGGATGCTGGGACAGAAAAGAGATGCTACCCAAGTCCCAAACAGATTACAGGTGGTCCTTCACTTAACGACTGTAATGGAGCCTGCCCATTACGGTCACAAAGCAGGCCATCATGCGACCAACCCAATTTTATCTTTTGTGTGTGTGTGTGTAGGTTGTTAAGGAAATCACCATAGTCATTAAGCAAACCCATTGTTTGCTACAGGTTTTTTTTTTTTGCCCCAAACGGGAAGTAAACCCCATTTTTCAGCCCAAACCGTGTCAAATCAATCGTGGGACTTCAGGACACTGCGAACAGCAGTAAATGCGGACTGGTGGCCAACTGCCTGAATTGTGTTCCCATGACCTGAGGGTGGGCGGGGCTGTAGGAATTTCAGAGCCGGGTGGTAGCTACTTTTGGGGGAGCCCACGGGAACCTTGAATACTCACCAAGCGATCGTTGCTAAGTGGAGAACTAACCTCTACAGTTTTAAGGAACACTAATTACACTTGTGTCCTGATGCTGTACACATCAATGTAAGTCGCAGAGTTTGTGCTGCAATGCAGCTCATCCACATCCACTCTATCTCCATGATTCCAGCGTCCTCTTTGTTTAGGAAAAAAGTTTGTCTTTGGCTCTTGTGTGGTGCTATCACAGCAATCAGGCACCCAGAACACGAGTCAAGCCAGCGCCGCAGAAAATCCTCCATCTAACAACAAACTGAACGTGCCCATCCCAGTTTGTGACGGCGGAGACTTCAGTTACTTGCTGAAGCCAGCCCCTGCTTGCTTGGACTTCATGTTCCCTTCAAGGGGGTTGAAAAAGTCCCAGCGATGCATCTGAGCTTTAGTCAATTGCTGGATCAGGAAGAGCTTGTCCCGACTCTCCTGTGGAGACACCAGACAGCTGATTCAGAGATGTCCTCATTAACAATGGTTTATGAATGAATGAATGAATGAATGAATGAATGAATGAATGAATGAATGAATTTGTCAACTCATAAAGTATTTCTATTGCCAACAGAAAGGGAGAGGGTGAAGCAGTGCAGCAGCTTGCAAAATCGAAACAGCATTCCATAAATGTTTTCAAAGATAGTAACTAGGTGACTGAAGTTTCTGCCTTGCAAAATTCTTAACTGGAGAGCATGGTTGATGACTCTGGGCTATGGAGGTGTCCCATTGGAGAATATGAATTACGATACACCTAGAGGGGTGCGGGGAAACCAGGGTCAAGGGTGACCATGGATGATGCGTCTCAGAGTCGGCTACACTCAGGCGGACATGTTAACTCCCAATAAATCCTTTTTTAAGTTTTGGAAGTTTGGCTCGAGACTCATGATTTAAATGGGGGTAACTACTAGAATCCTGACAGAATTCTTTATTGGCCAAGTGTGATTAGACACACAAGGAATTTGTCTTGGTGCAAATGCTCTCAGTGTATCGGATAAACTGCCATTTGCCCTGAACTGCATACCAAACCCGAAACTCTAGCTAACCACCCAACAGTCAACATAGTAAGTCCGAATGAAATACAGGTAGCCCTCAACTTACAACAGTTCGTTTAGTGACTGCCCAATGTCGTAACATCACTGAAAAAAAGTGACTTATGGCTGTTTTTCACACTTACAACCATTGTAGGATCCCCTTGGTCATTCGGATACTTGACAACTGACTCACATTTGTGACGGTTGCAGTGTCAAGTAGTCATGTAATCACCTTTTGTGACCTTCTGACAAGTAAAGTAAATGGGGAAGCCCCATTCACTTAACAACTTTAGTGATTCGCTTAACAAATGTGGCAAGAAAAGTCGTAAAATGGGGCAAAACTCACTTAACACATTTCTCACTTAACAACATAAATGCTGGCCTCATTTGTGCTCGTAAGTTGAGGACTACCTGTAAATCACTCTGAAATGTCACAAAGTGTGAATCCAGCAAAACGCAAAGAAACAGTGCTTAGAAGCACAAGCGGACTAGATCTAAAATCGAACACGGGTTGAAGGATCTCTGCTTCGTAAGATCTTCCAGTATTGTTTCAACAGAAAACGCTTCTGGCAGAGATGACAGCCTCCCAAACTGATAGATGCCATTTCATTAACTTATAGGAAGGCAATGAGATGCTAGATTTAAAGTTCAAACATAAATTTGACCTGTATAAAATTTGCATGGTGTTCCAATCTCTGCCTCCACAAATCAATAAAGAAAGCCGCGTGTCAGTCAGGGTATCCTTTGACGAATAACATTACGCATTCAGTTAAGAGCAAGGTAGGAGAACAGCATTAACAAATGCTGTTGGGTTAAAACTTACCATAGCTAATTGTTCCCTCAGTTGATTAATCACTCTTTTATGTGCTCCAGCCAAGGCAATGAAACAAAATACAACAAAGCTATAAAACAAGGTGAAAAAATATATAGATGAGACACTCTGGTATGGCGTAAGTTTGTAAAACACAATCTTCTGAATTCAGAGCCAATATGAAACTAATAGGTATCACAAGTCATGGAGAATAAGTGGTTATAGGGTTATTAATATGGAACATATTAATCAAATCAAGGCTCACTGGTGTCTGTAGTAAGCCACAATAACCATGCATATACATAATGAGGTCATGAATACGTCATTATAACACCTAATAAGAGGATGGAAGCTCGAGTGATTGGAACGCTGGGCTGGAGGTTTCAAAGCCCACGTTAGAGACCTGAGAACTGCCGTGGGGCGGGGTTGAGTTCTCATCCTTCACTCCAGCTCCTCCCAGGAACATGGAAGGAATCCCCAACTGGGCATCCCTGGGGCAATGGTATGTCACTGGCTAGTCCTTTCAACCTGGAAGGGTCTCGGTGCTTCTGACATGGTACAAGAACAACCAAACGAAAATATGGAAGCCAAGTTGTCATCATTAGGTCCTCTCTTGCAAATATTTAGAATAAGGAATCTTAAGGTTAAGCAGTCCCACCAAAATACTGAACATGAAAATTCGGGACAATTATGCCTTGAAACATGTACAGTTCAGTCAATCATCTTGACTACCACCAGGAAAATACGGCAACCTTCATCCTAAGCCAAGAGTCTCCAAACTTGGAAACTTTTAAGACTTGTGGACTTCAATTCCCAGAATTCCCCAGCCAGCTAGCAATGAAGAATTCTGGGAGTTGAAGTCCACAACTCTTAAAATTCCCAAGTTTTGGAGAACCCTGTCCTAAGCAATCAATGACCAGGATTACGGAAGGAGACATCATGGTACTTTCAAGTACAGCAAATAGTTACGGGGGGCAGGCAGGAACGTCAAACATCACCCAACATCTCCATTTTAATCATCTTTAAGATGCTTTTTTTGAAAAACAGTCAGTATGGTCCATGTGTGGATTCCACATTAAACTATCTACCCCTGCTTCACGTACCCCAATTGCAGAGGTTATATAAAACACGACACCCAACTGAAATCCACGCGGCAGCTTGCCTAAAACACTTGTGCGAATCACACCCCTGGGTCTGTCAACAAAAGCTCACCAGGTAACCATGAAGAAAGGCACGGCAAACGTTTCAGAAGAAACGCCGTTCAGGATTCTCTGCAGCATGAGGGGGAATTTCTGGATGGTGTGTCCAATGACATCCCACGAACGATTGAAATTCAGAAAAGGCCCACAGGCTTTGGAGGAAGGGATGCTGTTTGGGAAAGGACAGTTGAGACAACACCAAATAGGGTCAAGCATACTGTATGTGCTAAACTTCATTTATTTATGTATTTGGTTCTTTATATCCAGCCTTTGTTATTTATTTTTTTACAAATAACTCAAGGAGGCAAACATACCCAATACACCTTCCCTTTTCTTGTTTTCTCCATAACATGTTCTGATCCAGCTCCCCAAACACGACAAACCCTCTGTATTTAAATCAATGATTCTTTTAGGAGAACTGATCAATGATTCTTTTATTAGGAACGCCGGCAGCCCCAAC